TTTATAGAGTATACAGAACAAAAATTCAGTTACACTACCTAGACTAGAACAACAACCAAAAACTAAGCAAATCAGCAATAGGGGAGAAAACTACTGATATTAGTAATGAAGGTATATACAAATCTGAATCCTACTACAAATCAGAAATCTATCAAGTCAAAAATCTATCAAATCAGAAATGAAATCTATACAGCAAGCTATAGAGTTCTTCCTACAAAACACAGATCTGAAATCTACCAAATCAACAAAATAACCTATAGAATCAATAAGCTACGTTCTACAGAAATAAAAACAACCTAAACTAGATGCATTCGGCAAGGAGAAAGAAATCTGAAACTACTGAAACTAACTACACTACTGAAACTAAGATAAAGGCAATTAACAATAAGCAAGAAAACTATTTCTATCAGCAAGGGAAGTTATTCTATCTACAGATCTGAACCTAATATACAGAAGAAAAACAAATTAGATTACCTAGTACAGAACTAGAAGCATTCGGCAAGAAGAAAGAGATTACCTAAATCAGATTAGTGTGTGCAGATCTGAACTGTAATGTATAAAACTAAAAATCAGCTAAACTATTGAACTAGAACAGCAATGTTAGAGACAATCGACTATAAGAAAGAAAACTACCTAAATCAGCAATAGAGGTTAATACACACCAATCTGAACTACAATGCACAGAATTAGAAATCAGATTAACAGTGGCTAATAGTTCCTAATATTGCTGCAATAAGTCCCCGGCGACGGCGCCAAAAACTTGATGCATATTTGCTACATTAGCAAGTGCATTAGCCGCACAAGTAATAGAGTGATGAATAGAGTATCGTTTCCCACGAGGACTTATGTAGCAACTACTAGTAGTATATCAGTCTACTATTATGTGATAAACCGAAATGTAAAGCTAACCTAGAACTGAAATCCTAGCTAACAAACTATCTCTAATGAATTGGATCAAACACCTTGCATGCAAGTTGAGAGGACAAGCTAAATATGCACATAAATTGATTCAACAATTAGTTTCTAGGTCATTCAATTAGATCAGAATTCAGCCTTGGTTTGGTGAAACCCCAAGGCAACGAGCAGTCTCTCTCAAACGCATGTTCATTCTATGCATGAGTGATGGTTCTTCTATTTCTAGCAAGAATCTAATCCTCATGCATACATTAAGATCTAGACATTCTAGGGCATCATTCCAGCTTGAATGAACACCAACCGAATTGTGCAAGTTATCTCTAACCTTGCACTTAATTCAGTTCTTGATTAGCAGATCCGAAATTCTAGAGTCTTTCTCAAGCACTCTAGAACTTCCAAGAATCAAGAACAGTTCAGCCAAACAGAATTAAGATTGCCTAAATTCTTTCTCAAGCAATTCAGACATTACAAAATCACGATCAATTCGGCTAGCAGTTCTAACAATTAAATTTCTAATCAAGAAACATCAAGATTGGATCTAATCCATTCGAATGAACCTAGAAAGCTAACTACAGATATGAATTTACAGAAATCATGCTTCAATTACAGCAAGAAAGAAAAATTAATGGAGAAAACAAATTGAAACCTAGCTGATTTCAATTACCAAATGCACAGAATTCAAAGAAGATACAACCTAGATCTTTAATGGCTTCTTCTCCTTTCGAATTCAGCTTCTTCTTCTCTTGAAGTTGCTTGAATCTTCTCCTTTCTTCTCCTCTCTTGCGCCTATCTTTCTCTCCTCCCCAAAAGCCCAAAAGGTTTTTGACCCCCTTTTTCCCCTCTTTCTCTTCTCCTTTTATAACTTTCTCTTCAGCCCCTTTTCTCCTYTAGAAAGTTTGGCGCCTTTAGCCTCTCTTGAACCTTCTAGAAGTTGCTGCCCTTAGCTCCTCTTGAAACTTCTAGAAGTTGCTGATGTTAGCCTCTTTTGAATCCTCTAGAAGCTGCCGCCCTTAGCCTCCTTTGGCTGCACTTTGGGCTGCTCTTGAGCTGCTAATGGGCCTCTTCCTTGCTGAGCCRAATAGGCTCTCTTGGAAGGCTGCGGCTAGGCTCTCGCTTTGGGCATCTCCCAAAGAGTGCAGCATGGGCTGCATGGGCCAAATGGCCCTCCTTTGRCCTCTCRGCTGGGCCTTGCTCTCAGYTGGGCTGTATTACCTCYAATTTGGCCTCTTGTAGCATGGTTTTATGTTCTTTTTYCCCTAGACTTGTCCCCTTTGATAATTTCCTGAAATCAAGCTAAATTGGGGTAAGAATTCACACAAATCAGCATCAAAACCATGCATAAACACCAGAATTTATATGTAAATTGTGCACACATAAAAAATGGTCATTTTTTTCGGTCTGGGATCCAATTATTGAAAGAATGGAGAAAAAATTGGTTTCCTGAAAGGCAAAATACCTTTCTTTTGGGGGCAGGGTAACTCTGATAAAAAGTACCGTTTCTAATCTCCCCACTTTTTTCCTTTGCCTATTCCCTATCGCAAATAAAATAGCAAAAGGATTGGAGCAGTTGCAGAGAAATTTTCTTTGGAGGGGTTGGGAAGATGAAAAGAAAATACACCTAGTCAAGTGGGACCAAGTGTGCCTCCCTAAGGAAGAAGGTGGGCTGGGAATAAGGAAGCTGAAGTGCTTTAATTCAGCCCTTCTCAGTAAGTGGATTTGGAGATTTTCTTCTGAAAGGAATGCTTGGTGGAGAAACCTTTTAGCTGCAAAATATGGGGTGGAGTGGGGTAATTGGAGATCTAGGGATCCCCCTCCAAACTGGGGCAGCTTCCTTTGGAAAGGCATCATGAAAAATCTCCGTCTTTTTGGAAGGTGTTTCATTCAAGGCAGGCAAAGGGGATAAAATTACATTCTGGAAGAACCCTTGGTGCTTGGAGGGCCCACTGGCTGATGCTTTTCCTCTTCTATTCCAGTGTGCTAACCAAGACTCTTCAGTGGCTGAGAGCTATAGCTTTTCTGGAGATTCTATTACTTGGACCCCCTTTTGGGAGGAATTTATTTGACTGGGAGCTGGAAGAGATTATGGAGCTGTTGGAGACTCTACCGAATCAGAAGATAGACTTAACTTTGGAAGACGAATGGTGCTGGAATTGGAATTCTGATGGTTGCTTTTCTGTCAAGACATTAGCTTCCAAGATGTGTAGCTCAGGTTCTACAGATTTCCCTGCCATTCAGATTTGGAATCCAATAAGCCCCTCTAAATCCAACTTTCTGGTGTGAACGATGGCCTTAGACAAATGTCTCACCCGATCTAATCTTGAGAGGCGTGGCATCCAAATTTTGGACTACTCTTGCGGACCGTGCAGTTCCCTCCCAGAAGGTTGTTGTAGGACTGAGAAGAAAACTTACCATAGGTCTCCCAAGACCAGATTCTTTCATCATCAAACTGCGGGTTGGGCTTGAAACCATGAATGTGACTTAGTAGCTCAGTTAGTGGACCAATTTCCCAATCATTGAGATTTCTTCTGAAAGTAGGGCCCCAAATTATCTCACCATTCACTGATTCAAAGCAGTCTTCAACCACATCTTTATCCTGCACGATAACAAAGAGAGAGAGGGAAACCTCTCATTCAAAGCAAGGTCCCCACACCATTTGTCAAGCTAGAACTTGATGTGATTACCCTTGCCAACCTTGCATCTAATCCCCTTCAAGAACTCAGGAAGAATAGAGACAATATTACTCCATGCGGCACATCCCCTTGGGAGCGGACCAGGACCTGAGTCCCATCCCAGATTTGTGAGCCCATCAACGATGATTCTTCTCCAGAGGCTGCTTCTCTCATTGCTGAATCTCCAACACCATTTGCCAAGAAGGGCCTTATTCTTATTGACAGTTAAATTTTAATATTTATATTTTATTATTTGTTAAGTGGAAAGGTCTCTATAACCTTTCATGCCACATCAACCAAGGGTGGTCAGTTGTCACCAACTAATATATTCTTATAATTTGCTCTGAGTTACTGCTTGATGACCTGGATCAGCCATTTGGACTGGGTTGACTTGGCTTCGGCTCGAGATGGATTAAACTGGATCTCTGGTGATTCGAATATCTATGCTCTTACACTCCAATTGAGGGGAAGTGTTGAGAGTAGTCTCTTGTTCTTATTTATATGATGTTCATTCTATGATTCAAAGAAATCTATGTAAAGAGGCATGGCTGGATGGTATATTAAATATTTCTCCTCAATCAGTAGAGTAGTTCTCCTTCCCTCTTCTTCTCGTCTTTCTTCTTTATCTCTTGTTTTCTGTTTCTTTTTTTTTTTGGATTTCCCAAGTCTTGGGTACTCAAGATTAGAGATTGAAGAGGATTTTCAGACAGTAGTGAGCTAGTTAAGAAAGGGGGGAAATGGCCCTTGGGCTCATTGGTACTGAGAGGCTAGACCTCTAGCTGTAGGAGGGAATACTTTGTTCCATTTGGTTAAGGATGCATAACTGACATTTTTGCTAGAGGTGGTTTGGATAGAAGTTAGTTGTATTTTGGAACTGTATTACCTGATTCACATCTTATTAGGTGCATGGGGAGGCTGTAGTGCAACAACCTTGGAGTATATTCTTTGTGATGGTTTCTTTTCATACCTTCATCTTTCTCATTTGTAATCATTAATAAATTCTATTAGCCTGCTTCTGAGTATGGCATTTCTGTTAACAATGTGAACTTCTAACCAGTTGAGCTAATGGGATTTTATTTCTTTCAGAATTTAGATTTGCATATCATTGTTTGTTAAGTTTCTTAATTATTTTAGTAGGTGGTCCTCACTTCATTTGGGAGCATACTTCATCCTGTGTATGCCTCAGGCTTTAGGAACTATTTTCTCTTAAGTCATACTTACTTTTAAAGCACTGGATATACTTATTATCAGTGGGTCAACTGGTTCAACTGCTAACTAGACTGGCATGTTCCCTTTTCTGGTTTGACCTCCAGGCTATTTCTTAAACTGTGCATTGGAGACCCTTTTCTACTTATTAATTTACATTTGATTATTGCTACGCTTATAATTTGACTTATTACACTTCATAAAATGCAGAATTTGTATGTGAGTTTGACAAACATGAATGGCTCAACAGTTAAGCCCCCTACTATTGTCAAGGCATCTGTCTTGCCAGCAATTGGGAAACTTCCACTGCCAAGGTTGAAGCAGCTGGCACAAACCATCACAGGTTCTCCTGCAAAAAATCTTGGCCTCAATAACACTGTATTTGGTAGGGTCAAGCAGGTTCGTCTTTCCTCTGTTTTGGAGCACTCCCTCAATGGTAGTGGTGGCAGCAACAGTGTGGCTTCATCACCCAGTCCCGCTCCTCTGCCTCGTGTCCACCATCACCACCATCATCATCACCATCACCATTATCCTCAGAATCACCACCAAAATGTCCATCTGGCTCCTGCACCTGCACCTGTACCTGCAACTGATAATAATCACTGGGCAAAGCCCCCATCTGGTTGCCAAAATAGGTCTATCATAAAGGCCAAAAGGCAGCCGCATTTGGTTCCAACTAATGCACCACTGGTTCCTCCACACCATTCTTCTTCATCACCAGTTTTTCATGTAGATCCACCTGCACCAGCCCTGCATCAGCTTCCAGGATCTGCTCCTTTACCAGCTGTGGTTTTTGCTCATGTTCATCCTCCGAGCAAGAGCATAGTAGATGTGGAACCACCTGATATAATGCCATCACCACCTGATATAATGCCATCTATTTCACCATTGCCACCTTCATGTAAGTCTTTTTCATGATCCCAACTTGTTGCCTTTTTTACATTTGAACTGGTAATATTGGCTGTGTTTGCTAGTTTGATCTTTCTAGTAGTGCCATTTATTTGGTTCCTGTATGCCACTTTGTGCACCTTCCACTTATATTTTATGCTTTGAGGTTGAGGTCTTTTTTGGTAGAAGTGCTTTGAGGTCCAGACTGTGTTTTTCATTTTCTTTCTTTTGATATCTTTCTTCTATTTATATGCAGTTTGTAATCAACTGATTAAAAAACTTGCTGCATAACAATTGTTTAACATGTTTTCTTTTGATCTAATTACTTGACCACAGAAACTAGTGAGGATGGTGCTTAGTTGTCTTGCAACAAATTTTAGGGTGCTAAAACATTTTTTACTTAATTTTAATGTCAATTGTCATGTCACGGTTTGGCTTGACCAAAGACACTAGTGAGCCGTATAACAGGCATCAATTTTGTTTGCAGCTTCTATTGCTTTAAAATGGTTGTATACTCGTATTCTCATCCTGTCAACACTATGAAGATTAAATACCTGTTTTTTTTTCCTTTTTTTTTTGTTTTTTCCCTAATGAATAAATCCCAAGACCTGCAATCGTTGCTTACAGTGCTCTATTTTTTTGTTTTTTCAGCTACTGCAGCTCTTCCTCCAGTTCAATCAGCAATTGCACTGGTTCTATCATTGGTGATGCATTTTCTATGACAGAGAATTGAGTTTTTCTTTTCTAGATAAAATCGTCTCCAGTTTCCAGAGGAGAAAAGGCTCGTCGATTTTGAGCAGTTCAAGTGAAAAACAAACTGGAGCTCCTCAAGTGGGAGCAGTGCGAAAAGTATTCCTCACATTTGAGTGGATATATTTTGTTTTTTGCATGTAAATATTGATTATAATTCAGTGGGAGGATGTGTTTTCAGGTCAAAGCCACAGAGATGGCAGGCCCTTGGTAACATGTCTCGATGCTGTTGCTGTGTATGACTTCAGAAATGTAAGGAAAAAAGAATGATCTTTTGCCAGGTCAAATAGGTCATACTATTGTATTTCATTTTCCTGATGAAACCATGTACCTGAGCCATCTGCATCTTCACACTGCCCTATTAGATAGTTGAAGATTGTTATATGCCACGTTGGTTATTCTGGTTCCGATCTCTTTCTTTCCTATCCTGTTTGTCAGAAAACTTCAAATTCTAGTTGTTGGCCTTCAGGTAATGGCATATGCACAAGATTGATAAACATGCTGAAGTGAGAACACCCATTTAGAAAGGAGAGTAAGAGACAGCCAATTGATACATGATTTATCATATATCCCAGCACCAGCAGTTCATTTGAAAATTCACTGGTTTTATTCTGGACCATAAGATGATACATCTCCAATGTGAATTGTTTTTGTTGTTTCCAGTTTCAAATACAAGTATACAAAACCAAACTAGCCGGTTTGAAAACATATTGGTTCTTAAAAAAAACATATAACATGTTTCTTGGTTGTGTATTCTTCAACATTTTCTTGAATTTTTGATTAAAGAGCACATTATTTTTTTTTTTCATCTAAGCATCAATTTCTACACTACAAAATTTGTTTTTTGTTCTAGAAACCACTATTTTGGCACGTCTTTAAAATAAAACCACTTTATTTGTCTTTTGAAAAAAGGTATTTGCGTTTTTTTTCTGTAGCAATTTCAAAGAAAAAAAATGAAAACAAAAGCATTCATGTTGTAAAACATCCCTCGGGCTTAGATGCTCAGTTTGGAAAGAGTACAAATACGTACAAAATATTTTGTACTCTAGATATTTGATTTGTACTCTTTCCAAACTAAGCCTTATAAACTGTTTATAATGCTTCAGGTTTTCTCTCGTTTCTAGATGAAAAGAGGGTTTACTGGCTACTTCAAGGACAATTCAAAGCCAATACATTAAAACTACTTATAGTGAGGCACCGAACCAGTTGGTAAATTCTCCGGCTAGATATGGTGGAGACCTGGGATCGAGTCCCGCCACTTGGGGTTGGGGTGTTTGGGAGAGGGTTACCCCTGCTGTGTGTATCCTATCTTATAAAAAAAAAAAGAAAGAGTTCAGGAATTGATATTTTTTGATATACAATTTGTGTTTCGAGAGTTTCCAACTTTCCATACCACGTCTTATCCACATCCTTTCGTTTTTGTTTTTACTTTTTGATTTAATAAATTGACAAAAAAATGTCATATTAGCTATTAATAATCAAAATATTTAAAAACACCTAGCTCTATTTAATTAGAGTTTCGTTGACCCTGAAAATCGACATGTATTTACACACCAATATGTTGCAATATTTTAAATCTTGTGAAACTGTTACATTTGCTATTCAACACCAAAAACCTGGTTGCACAAACTATTGGGTTTCAACTTCCGAGTTAAATCTTTTGTAGTAGATTATAGATAAGGATGGTCCCGATTGGCTACAAGACCTTTGAGTGAGGAATGTGCAGGGATGCAAATGGTATGTATGTTTGACCTTTGAATTTGAATTTTAATTTCAAGTCTGATGATTTTTTTTTTGAATTCTTCTAGCTTGATGATTCAAATTTGAATTAATAGGACTATATGTAAGTAAATATTAATCATATATATGACAGTTGGATTTTACTTTTATATACTCATGGCAAGCATCAGCTTTTTATAGTATAGATATAACATGAATTTATTTCCTCAATTAGTTTGTTTGTATTTCACTAGGGGGGGGGNGGGGGGGGTTGCATGGAATGTTAACTCACAGTTTGTCAACATGAGGCTAAACTGAGGGGCGGCTTAGTTGGTACTTAGCTGGGTTGTGGTGTGATATTCAAATGGTCCCAAAGGGGGATTCAGGCATATCATCAAAATGTAAAAGAAAAAAAATTCATCAGGTTGTCATGCTGATGACCCAGTAGGGAAAACTCCTTGAACCTTTGGTGTTTTTTAGTAAATGCTTTAATCTCCTTGTATTTTGATTATAAGAACCTCCCTTTGTATTTGAAATTTGAAATAAGTATACAAATGTATTCCTTCTAATGGAGACATTGAAATTGTGATCATGCCCTTATAATGAATGTACCCAATAAACACTGTTTACTATTCAAGCGGAGGAGGTTTAAATTTGTGAACAACCCTATTCAGTTCTAGGTCAAAGAAAAAGAAGAAAAAGAAGGGTTTGGCCAGTTGAGGAAAATCAACCATCACTAGTCAACCCACTTGTATTTATATCAAATAAACTCAGTTACAAGAAAGACAATTTTGTCCCTTATAAGTGATGGGACACACAACTTAAACTTGAATAAAACAGACTTTTTACTCTCAAATAGATAAACCTATAAGACCAAAATACCTCTGTCCTGTGAACTTTAACAAAATTCACCCCAAGGTTCAAAAGTATCAACATGACTTTTACTAAATATGGAGGGTGAACACGGTACATATTTCTTTTGACTCTTGATATTATAATTTTCAATTTTTCAGAGTTATTAATTACATGATTATAAGTATTTAAAGCCATTGATTTAACTCTAAATATGCAATTTATAGGTGACCTAACAATCTATATATACATATAATAGAAAGAGGAAAGAGGGTAGGTGAGGGTCCTCTCACCACATAGTTCACACATACTTACTCCTCTTCTTTCTCACACATTTGCATGTTTATATTTATATTCGATCATTAAAAACCTCATGGGTCTTTATTGTCTCTCATAAAATCCATATTTACTTCTAATATCTCTCTCTCTCTCTCTCCCCCACACACACACACACCCCTTAATAGTCAATATTTTTAACATCTCCCCTCTCCATTAAATCCTTATTTTCCTTTTAAATATCTCTTAATCCCTTTTGGCGCTCTCTCTCTCTCACACACACCTCAATAGTCAATGTTTTTAACATCTACCCTCCCTATTAAATCCTTATTTTCCTCTTAAATATCTCTTAATCCCTTCTCTCATTCTCTCTCTCTCTCTCTCTCTCTAATAAAGTAGGGTGTAAATTAGATGGATTGGGTTAGGTTAAGGGTCAACATAAATTAATGTCTAAAAACCCATATTTGCCTACCAGTACATGGGGCGAACCAATCTAAACAAATCTTTGACCATTTCCTTGGACTTTTAGGTTTTTTCACTCTATTTATAACAATTTATTTTAAAGTAGGTTTGTTTAATGGATTATTTTGGTTCAATAATAAAATGTAGTAAGAAAAAAAACTTAATGTGAGTTTTTGGTTATTTTCATCAGTTCAATTTTGAAATTGTTTTTTTAACTTGGTTATTAATCTCATACTAGGTACATTTTTTTTTTTTTTGCTTTATAGGAGTACATAATGGGAGGTAACCCATTGCCCCAACCTAGGTCTCTATTACAATTAACTAGATAAGGTATCAACTAAGCCACCATCACTCGGTTTATGTGCTTCTCATAATATATAAGCTATATAAAAAGGAAAGTTTAAAGCTCAATAACTAAAAAAGGAAAATAATTTTTTTCTATTATTCTACACATAAAAAAATAGAAATACAGCATCCCGTGCATCACACGAGTCACTACTAATTAATACGTATCATATAATTGTTGCTATATTTTGAACATTGGTTCAACCCCAACTTAGCCTCTTTTGTTCAGACGATGAAGTGAACAATGAAACCCACTTAAATAGAGTAAATTACCTTTTGGGGGTAATTTTGGAAAACCTTCATCTCAATAAAGCTTTTTTATGGGTAAAAATGAGATTTTAAAAAAGCCAAAGCATTATGTCAGCGTTTTTTGTTAGGACAATTAGGTTGTATTTGGTTTGAAAGAAAAAGATAGGAAAAGGACCTTTCTAACACATCCTTTGTGGTTTACATTAGAAATTTGAAATATAAAGGGAGGTTTTTACAAAAATCAAAGTGTAGGGAGTTTATGTAAACTTTCAAAGTAAATAAAGAACGTGAGAACACCACCGAACACCATTTAAGTGTATGATAAGTGTCCCATCATATGTCCATTCTCATATGTCATTATATAAAGTCATATAAATAATGTTTTTTTTTCTTGAGAATACTTGAGAAATTCTAGATGCCTCTATCTCTCTCTACATCACAACTAGGGGTGTTCAAATTCTGTTGATAAATTGAAAACCAAACCAAATTAAACCAAATAAGCTAATTTGGGTATCAGTTGATTTTTATTTTCTAAAAAAATGGTTTTTGATTTCGATTTGATTTGACTGAGATTTTCAATAGAATAGAATCTAAAACCGAATTAATGGTTGTATTTAATTAAGTATATTAAATATATAATTATATTCAATACTTTATACTCATTAATTAATAATTATTATCTTTTCCAATGGACAATAGTCAATTCACAATTCTTCATTGTGCTTTGCCCTTTAATTAATAATAGTTAATTAAATAGCCTAAAGACTCTAAACAACTATAGTATTAAAATCTAGACTAATGATTAATTATTCATTAATCATTTATAAAGAATAAGTGTAATTACTTTAATAATTAGTCATTCAACTATTCTTTAAATGACTGTATTGTATTAATTAAAAGCTAATTGTTCATTAATTATTAAACCAAATAAAACTGAATTCGATCAATTGATTAGGTCTTCGGACTAAAGATTAATAACTAATAGTCAAACCGAATAGTTGATTAGGTCTTTGATTCTAACCAAATCGAACCGAAATGACCGATTATACATCCCTAATCACAACATCACAACAACCCCAATTTTGTTTTATCATTCACTTTACTGTGGAGCCCATATTTACAATCTCAATTGCTTAGATCTGGACGGCCAAAAAATGCCCATGAGATTTTAGCCCAAACTCACTTGGACTGCCTCCTTCAAAAAAATTAAATTCCCCCAAAGCATTGTTTTAAACTCCCCCATTCATTCAATTAAAGAGATCACGAGCATTTAAATCAAGTACAGTCACATTCAACTAAAGAGATCACGAGCATTCAAATCAAGTACAGTCACATTTGCGGGTAAAGGAGTTTGGAATTGGAATGACCCAACTGTTTCGTTGGGTGGAATAAGAATTTAATTCTCATTCCCGGTGAAAAAACACCCACCCCATTTTGACCTCACCTTGGGAATGGGGATCTCATTTTCTAGCAAGAGAAAAAAAAAAAAAAAAAACAACTTAAAAACCCTTCAAATCCTA